AAAAAGCAAAGAATTAATTTTGGCCATTCACAAAACTCTCCTAGACCAGGCATTGTGGCTGGCTCATGCCTATAATCTTAGCAATTTGGGAGGCCAGGGTGAGAGGATTACTTGAGCCCAGGAGTTTGAGACCAGCCTGGACAACATGGCGAAATCCCCTTTCTAAAAGAAATGCAAAAGCTAGCCAAGTGTGATGGCACCACCTATCCCAGCTACTCCAGAAGCTGAGGTGACAGGATTGCTTAAACTGGGGAGGTGAAGGGTGCAGTAAGCCATGAATGCAGCACTTCACTCCAGCATGGGCAACAGAGTGAGACCCTGTCTCAAAATAACAACAAAAAACCCAACTCTCCTAAAAATGAAGTAAGAGGCAGCTTCCCAAACCGGCTCTAAACGATACAAATAAGATGAACACCACAAATATGGAACAGGCAAACACAGAAAGTGTAAGCACGGATTGGAAGCTCTAGCTACAACACAGTCTTTGTTTCTTCTTGTTGAGATTCACTCGGGGTGGATGGCAAAATATTACAGCAATATTAGGAAAGGTTGCTGTGCATGGTGGCTCACACCTGTAATCCCAGCACTTTGGGGGGCTGAGCTAGACAGATCACGAGGCCAGGAGATCGAGATCAGTCTGGCTAACATCGGGAAACCCCGTCTGTACTAAAAATACAAAAAATTAGCCAGGCGTGGTGGCACGTGCCTATAGTCCCAGCTACTCGGGAGGCTGAGGCAGGAGGATCACTTGAACCGCGGAGGCAGAGGTTGCAGTGAGCTGAGATTGTGCCACTGCACTCCAGCCTAGGTGATTGGGCGAGACTGTCTCAAAAAAACAATAAAAACACACACAAACACAAAGAATTAGGAAAGGTTATAGGTTTTAGATTAATCTATAACCTTTCCTAATATTTCTATAATATTCTACCAGCCACCCTAAGTGAATCTCAACACTTCTGACCTCCAGCAAAAAGGGTAGCTGTGAGTGAAGGTGCTGGCAACCAGAAGTCGGCCTTGTTCCTTCAAAGTCCTGATGATACTTTTGTCAGCATCCTGTTAAAAAAAATTAAAATTCAGCCATTAAAACATACTGTAATATTTAGGAACAATGTATTACTAGAGTCTGATATTGTTATGAATAAAAGGCACAAATATTAATTATTTTTAGTCACTAACTTCAAGTCAAGTACATTCCACAACATTTAAGGTCATAAAGTTTTCTTTCTGAAATGATTACCCCAAGGTCACAAAGTTGCTTTATGAGGCATAAACTGGAGCAGTTTTTCTGATCTCTCCCTGTGAAATTACAGCATGCTTCCTCTAAAGATATGAGACCCTCTGAACATAACTGATAACATCTTTACTGATTTTATGTGACGACAACACTAAGTAAAAACAACTTCCTAGAAGAATTACAATACAATTATAAACCATGATGGAGAGTAATCAAAAGTAACAGACACCCTTCTATGCCATATGGAATACAGACCTTCACATACTGTCCTGCAAAATGTGTCACCTCTGCTGTGAAGCAGCCTGATGCATCCACAGGACAAACGGGGAGTGAGTCTTTCCGAATAATGCTGAAGTCCATACAGACCCGATAGTCATCCTGAGAAAAGGCAAAAAGGAGAGAAGAATAAAACATTCTAAGAATGGGTGTGGGGAAGAAGCATGAGGTAACAGAGTCCCAAGATAATTGTTCTATATTATAACATATACATGTCATTAACTTTATCCTGTTACCTGAAGGTAACTCAAAACCATTAGGAGAACCAGAGCCTCACAGTTGGACAGGGATTAGATCATCCAGTCCAGTCTTCTCAAATATTATTTTCCAGACCTCTATATATACCTGAGTATTCACTAAATGAGAAGATAGATGACACATATGATTTTTTTTTTAAGTGAAAGGAAGTTAATTAAGAAAGTAAAGGAATGAAGAATGGCTACTCCATAGGCAGAGCAGCCACACATGAATGTTTTAAAACTAAATCAAATTTGGTTTATAACAGTAGCACACCCAAAAACCAAAATACACACAAGTATGAGGCATGGCCTGTTAGTATTACATGCTTGATGTACATTTGGATTTGCACCCTCTCAAGGAAGACCCCAAAGGATGGCAACACTGACCTAAAAATCCAAAGTATTTACTTTTCAAATAAGCAAACTGGGTCTCAACTGGCATAGCTTATACCATGAAGCTTCAGGAATATATTTTGAAGACTGTTAACAATAGAGCAAATGCTTAGCAAAGTGCTATGTGACACGGTATTCTGAGCACTTTACATATGCTCACTTACACCTCACAATGCTCTTAGACAAAATGGCATGAAAACAAAACAAGACACCTCCCAATGATCCTACAAAGAAGGCTTTCACCAGGTGCTCCTCTTACACAAATTAGCAATCATCTCTATTTTACAGATAGGAAAGTCAAGATACCAAGAAATAACTCAGCTATGAAGCAGCAATGCTAGGCTCCAGAGCTTCACCACTGTGCTATGATGCCTAAATATAAAATTAAAGAGACTGCCTTATGTTAGTGAAACCACACTCTGGATTGACTCCAAGACAACCTGGAAAGTGGACATGTTTCCACCTGGATCTGTGTTCACCTCTCCCTGTGCTGAGGCTGACTGGTGTGGTGTCACGTGGGTGGATAGGAAAAGCCCCTAAGTGCAGCAATTTGAACTACTGAGTGTGGAGCAAGTAACTCTATCCAGTGCATTAAGCTAAGAGCAGTTTTCCTAAATGCATCCAGAACAAGTGAAGTTCAACATGATGATGCACAAGTGCACAGACTCCGCAGAGATCAAACAATACCTTGCCTAGCAAAAGAAGGCCTCTCAGAAAATGTTTACCAAGGTGGGGCACGGTGGCTTACACCTGTAATCCCAGCACTTTGGGAGGCCAAGGTGTGCGGATCACCTGAGGTCAGGAGTTTGAGACCAGCCTGGCCAACACTGGTGAAACCCCGTCTCTTCTGAAAGTACAAAAAATTAGCCAGGTGAGGTGGTGGGTGCCTGTAACCCCAGCTACTTGGGAGGCTGGGGCTGGAGAATTGCTTGAACCCAGGAGGCAGAGGTTGCAGTGAGCCAAGATCGTACCACTGCACTCCAGCCTGGGCGACAGAGGAAGACTGTCTCAAATGAAAAAAAAAAGAAAGAAAGAAAAGAAAGAAAAGAAAGAAAGAAAGAAAGGAGAGAGAGAAAATATTTACCAATTGGTGTTAAAGGCTACAGTTTAAAGAACAAATCTTCCATAACATTAACGCGCATGGCGTTCAGAATCTTCTATAGAGTTAATGTGCATGGCACTCAGAGTGCTATGAGATATAACTCTAGAGTTAATGACAAATACCTACATTTAAAAAGAAAACCTAAACTACAATTCAAAACCAAGAAGTTACCTTTTTAATCATCTACTATCAGTGGGGTAACCATACTGGTTGGCCCTAAAATGATTATGAACAGTATGTGACTAGTTCCTAGAACTCTTAAGTAGTATTATCAAGAATACTTTCTTCCATCAAAACTGAATATGGACCAGGTATTGGGTGATTATTAAGGAATTGCTGACTTTATTGGATATAAATAACAATGGCACAGTGGCTACAGTGAAAATAAAAGTCCTTATTAGTCAGAGATGCAGCTAGAATTACTAATACATGAAAGACATGATGTTGAGGATTTGCTTCTGAATCCTCCAGCCAAAATAAAAAGCGTGATACTATACAGAGGAAGAAAACGAGAGATTACCAAAATGTTGAGAACGCAGCTGGATGATGTGACAAAAAGAATTATAATATTTTCTTCTGTGTCTGTTTCAAGATTTCCAGAATAAAACTTCAAGTGATGGTTACATTAAAAGCCCAGATTTTACCACTACAAATCAATGTAAAAAAATGTACATACATACATACATACATATATATATATATATATATATATATATAAATGCACCCCATATATCTATAATAAATAAAATAAAATCCCAGAGATTAAGCATAAAAGCAAAATGGCAAATGAAGACAGACTACTCTCACTGCCTTTTAGAACAAAGTCACATTTCCAATGCCTCTCACCAACAAAATGATCAAGCCTAGAGTAATGTGTAGGTGCTACACCATGCTACAGAGGAGGCAAAGGAAATCCAGATAGGCCAAGCAACTTAGCTTGGAACTGGCCATTAGTGGCAGCACCATGATTTAAGGTGAGAGGTGGTTTACTGCAAAGCATGTGCCTTTATGTTATTCTATTTTTATTCATACAAAAATTACATGAAAGGGAAAGTGTTTTTAGAAAAATCATTCGGGGCAAAATATAAAATTAACTGAAGAGTACAGTTTTGAGAGGAGAGGTCAAATTCCCCCTTCTGATCATGTAGCATTTAATTAAGAACACAGCAGAGGTGATGAGAATGGTGTGTATTTTGGAGGCTGAGGCACCTGCACATCTCTAGATGCCTGTCAAAACTCACAGAACTGTATAACAGAAAGAGTACTGCATGAATGAATAAATAAAGACACAGCAAGGCACTGTGGCCTTTTAGAAAGATTAAACGACTGGAAGTGGCCCTGAATTTTACACACTCTTTCCAGAAATTAGCTTAGGATGAATGAAAGCGAATTGCAGATGCAAATTTTAAAAGCCATCTTGCAGGCAGTGAGTCAGAAAAGAGGCCAACCTGGTGGCCCAACATGAGACCCATGACTCAGCATCTATGAAAAGTGGCCACCGACGTACTTTTCAAATACATTTGCCAGATTTATGCTACTCACAGCACCAAAGTAAGGAGCTTGGTGGACAACCCCTGTGCCTTCTTCTTCCTTCACATAGTTGTCAACGAGCACAGTGAAAGCGCCATTCTCTTTACACTAGAAAAAAAGGCAGCAGGCTTCAGGGATGAAACATTACTATATTACAATGTTAACTTCGTAACAGTTTTTCTTAAGAACCTGAAAACACTTTCAATATGTAAAATTATTTCCAGAAATATTAAAGAAAGAATAATTCAGGTTGGGAAGAAACATGCTAATTCAATGCATTTTTCTCATAAATAAAAAGTTACTACTTATAAATCAAATAATTATTTGGAGACTGGCAGATAAAAATTTCTAATTTCCTTGGTTACAAACTGATGTTTTTTTTTTTGTTGTTGTTGTCACACAGGCTGGATTGCAGTAGTGCAATCTCGACTGACTGCAAATTCCGCCTCCCAAGTGCAAGCAATTCTGCAGCCTCAGCCTCCTGAGTAGCTGGGATTACAGGGGCCCACCACCACGCCCAGCTAATTTTGTATTTTTAGCGGAGATGGGGTTTCACTATGTTGGCCAGGCTGGTCTTGAGCTCCTGACCTTGTGATCCACCTGCCTTGGCCTCCCAAACTGCTGGGATTACAGGTGTGAGCCAAGGTGTCCAGCCCAAACTGATGTTTTTCATCAGTTCTCCCTTCCTCCATTTTTGCTCCTAGTATGCAGTTTAGGATATTCGCTTACTGGTACATTTTCAATCACTGTATATGTTTTGCTTCTCTTTTTCCTTTCAACTCAGCTCAAGTTACTCAGTTATAAAGGCAAATCTCGAAAGGAACAGGTGGGAGCCACAAGTAGTAAGTTCTATTTACAGGTACTCCACCACCTTTTAAGACTCAGGGGAAATGTGTTCAATTTTATTTTCTTTGCAACAGCAATATCATCACGTTAATACATAAAATGCTAATAGACCTACTCTTTCTACTTTCACCTCTTTACATTTCTTTCCACAAACCACTGTTTTTTCCAAACTGGGATGTCCTTCCATTTTGCATTGGTTAAAAAGTATTTTCACATTTAACTCCTAAAATCCTGTGAAAAAGCTATTAGTATTCCCATGTCTTAAAAATATTCTGGCTGTATTTGCATTTCACAGATAAGCAAACTCAGAACAAAGATTAGTCTTTACCCAAATCACACAACAGTGATGAAACCATGACCTGAAACGAGTCTTCTGGTTGCAAATACAATGTTATTTCAACTTCAGCACAGGACTCTGTCTCTTTGAAACTTAAAACTGAACTTGGAAAATAACCATAAAATTTCATTGCTGTAACCCAAATCCCCCTGAAACATTTTAGAAGTTATGGTATGATAGGTGCTCAAATTTTGATAGTTTAAACAGAAAGAATACATGGGTCCTTAGAATTACATGTTCTATACTTAGAACCAGTATAGACTAAGTCACTGCATCTTGTCTCTCAGGGTCCACCTGGGGACTATCCAGGCCATGGCTGGGCTGCTTCCACCCAGGTCAGCAGATACCAACCACTAGGAGCAGCAGTGCTGCTCCATTGGCAATGTCTGCTGACACAGCTTCCCTTGGTATTTCAGAACAGGTATACGTCAGTGAATATCAGATGAATTCTGTCCCGGGTCAAACGACTTATAGTACTCGTCTAAAGTCACCGAAGGTCTCAGGCAGTTTAAGAAGTTTATTTAATGGCTAGGTGTTATTCAACTGGATATGTACCGAGTGCATATTCCAGACAGACCTCTGTTTAACCTAAAGTTCCTGTCTAGTCTGTCCATGTGCATTTTTTCAGAGGGTTGAGCTTTCTTTTTTTTTTTTTTTTTGAGACGGAGTTTCGCTCTTGTTACCCAGGCTGGAGTGCAATGGCGCGATCTCGGCTCACCGCAACCTCCGTCTCCTGGGTTCAGGCAATTCTCCTGCCTCAGCCTCCTGAGTAGCTGGGACTACAGGCACGCGCCACCATGCCCAGCTAATTTTTTGTAGTTTTAGTAGAGACGGGGTTTCACCATGTTGACCAGGATGGTCTCGATCTCTTGACCTCGTGATCCACCCGCCTCGGCCTCCCAAAGTGCTGGGATTACAGGCTTGAGCCACCGCGCCCGGCCAGAGGGTTGAGCTTTCTTTGGGTTCTCAATAGGATTTGTGATTCAGAAAGGTGAAGCGTCACTGATCCAGTGGAAGAGATTTTAGATAATAAAAAAATACAACATAAAACAAAGTATGTTAAGATACACGATAGGAGAATAAAGTAAAGACATTTCTCCAAGGGAGAAACCAAAGATGCATTTCAGAAAACTTTCAGATGACATGTGAGTTCAGACTTGAAGGGTGAGTTAACTCAGCATATCTACACATGAAAGAAAAAAAGATAAATACTTTTAAAATGGTAGGAAAACTTAATAAAAAAGGCAGGGAAGCAGGAAAGGAAAGAGCCAGTTTGATCGAATAAAGGATATGTCTAAAGTAGCATGGGAGGATGTGGTCAGGAAGCAGGTCTGCTGCACAGCGACTGGGGAGGGCATGTCCTGAATGCTGGGAAATAACTAATGCTTGAAGGGAGGAATGGGATGAAGAGAGAGCATATGGAAATCCACTGGGCAGCAACGTGGGAGGAAGAAGGCCAATAGGCAAGAAGAAATGTAGAAAAACAAGAAGCACAAAAGCGAGGAGGCAGGTAACAGACACACTGTGGATAGGGCCCAAGCCATGGAGGTCTCCTGAATCAACCAGACTCTCCCTACAAGGAACAGAAACAACAGAGCGTTCAGCAAATGTTTTTTTTGGGGGGATGGGATGTAAGTGATATGTCCAGTTGATTATTATTTCCACATAACCAATAAAGCCAGGCCTGCTTTTTATCTCATTTCAAAACCTTTAAATAAGGATGGAGGAAATCCTGCTTGACAACACTCTTTTGGTGAGGGAGTGTGGGCAACAAGGTTTGCAGCTGTAGCTGTGGATTCTCCATTGTGGAAAATAAAACCACATAAAACAACTTTATGACTCTGAAGAAACTAAGGTGCTAAATGTATGAGCCCTGTCATGGTACCTAGATTTAAATACCTGCTTCATTAACCTCCTTGAAATAAAATTGTGTTTACTTTTACACACGATGTTTTATTCTGATGACTATCTTAAATTAGTCAAAAAACAAACAAACAAACAAAAAACCACAAAAAACCTAAATAAATGCCCCGGATATGTAAACTACATGTAATAAAAATATACACATAAAAATCCAATCAAATGTAAAGTGATTATTCATATAATTTGAGGAAAAAAAAGTCACAGCCAGGTGCAGAGGCTCATGCTTGTAATCCGACGAGTTCAAGACCAATGTGGGTAACATAGTGAGATTCTGTCTCTACAAAAAATAAAAAACTTGGCCAGGTGTGGTGGTGGTGTATGCCAGTAGTCCCAGCTACTTGGGACAGGGGGGCATCACTTGAGCCCAAGAGGTTGAGGCTGGGGTGAGCCATGATTGTGCCACTGTACTCAAGCCTGGGGGGGCAAAGGAGATCCTGTTTCAAAAAAAAAAAAAAAAAAAAATCCTCTAAAACAAGAAAGCAACACAAATGACTTAATTTTGTTAGCACTAAAGCAGACTTTCTGGATTCAGGTACAGTCAAACGAGCAATATAACAGTAAGGTAATGTGAATTCCACTTATCACCTCATCCCAGCTATCAAATAATCAGATTGTGGAGAGTCCCCACAGTAGCAGTCCCTGAGCTTACCTTCACAAAATAGTCAAACAAGGGCCTGTACTTCTTGCCTTTAAGATAGGCACCAGGAAATCTAGAAAAGGAGAAAGGCAAACTCCCAATTAAATTAAATCAAATAGGAGGCTACAGCCCCATCAAGCCAAGCCACCACTCACCTCTGGTTTGCTGGCCCCTTAGCCATTAATGCTATAATGTGTGACTATAAAGTACTTAGTATTAGTACTCAAAACTAAATTTGAATCATGCAGCTTTTGGATAATAAAGATTTTTCCTTTTTAAAACTAAAGGCACACCCAGACACATACACCCCCACCCCCAACCCCACCCCCACAGAGCAACTATTTGAATATTTACCTTTCAAGGATCTCATAGTCACTCTCCAATTTATAGAGGGCTGACAATCTGGCTTCCATTAAAATGAGCAATTTTCCTCTGGCAACATCTATGAGAACAAGGAAAAACATGGACATGGGTGATATTCTGTATTTGGCTGATTCTAAAGACATGCATCAAGCATACTTTTCTCCCGAGGAGCCCCTGTATCATGTGTCTCTAGTGTGCCCAATACTCACAGAGAAATAATGCAAAGAACACTAAGGTATACTGCTTTCCAAACATGAAAATGACAAAAACATCAAATGCACTCAGGCAGTGGGTAGTTATTATTTATCACTCTGATATCCATTTTAATTATTCTTTATTTTCTCCTTCATAAGGTAAATATGTGAATGTTTAAAAATAACATTGACAAAGTAGCTCACAAAGTAAGTGCCATGTAATATCACCCTGTCTCAGACACTCTCATTTGGGCATTTATTGATCCAGATATTTTTCTATGTATATAACAACAAACACATATGCAAATATGTACATTCCTTTTATTTTTATTTTTAAATTAAGGTAATATTCTATCTGGTTTTACAAGTTTTCACTTAATATCCTGTCAACATTCTTCCAAATATTAGAATACAGACTTTTCTCCCTGTTTTAAAGAACTCTGTGGGACCCCATTTTATATGATTATGAGTTATTTCTAACAAGCTGACAGTCATTTAAATTCCTTTCAAATTTTCACTACTATGAACACTGGGATAATGACTGTCCTTGATGTATCTGTGAACCCTTATTGTTAGTGTTTCTAGAGGATACCTAGGGCATCCTAGAAAAGAAAAGCTAAAGCAAATGTATGAACAATTAAAACTGAAGAGAAAATCTGGGCCAATTTGAATTCCCACCCGTAAGTTATGACATTACATATCTGAAATTTACTAGAGCTTATGTCATATATTTAGTTCACTATAAGAAAAATGGGTATTTATGGGGCACTGCAAAAGCCAGGCCTCTCTGTGGCCAACAGCTCTTTCCAGTAGGTCAACTCTTGGTCCTATCTGCTCCCAGGAAAGAACAAATAAAAAACTCCCTCTGTCCCTTTTTTCTGACAATCGATCTTTTTCCATTCCTTTCTCATTATTTTTTCCTTGCCAGCACAATCTACTGTTCAATCAAGTCGACTGTTTTAATACAACTATTTAAAAGGATCATTGCAACCATTTTTTTTTTTTTTTGAGACGGAGTTTCGCTCGTTACCCAGGCTGGAGTGCAATGGCGCCATCTCAGCTCACCGCAACCTCCGCCTCCTGGGTTCAGGCAAGTCTCCTGCCTCAGCCTCCTGAGTAGCTGGGATTACAGGCACGCACCACCATGCTCAGTTAATTTTTTGTATTTTTAGTAGAGACGGGGTTTCACCATGTTGACCAGGATGGTCTCGATCTCTTGACCTCGTGATCCACCTGCCTCGGCCTCCCAAAGTGCTGGGATTACAGGCGTGAGCCATCGCGACAACTATTATTAAACAGCATTAAACACATCTACACTGTTGTGTAATCATTACTACTATCAACATCCCAAACCTTTTCATTTTCCTATACTGAAACTCTGTACCCATCAAACAACTCCCCCTTCCCTCCCAGTCTCTGTCAACCACCATTCTACTACTTTTTGCTCTCTGAATTTCACTTCTTGATACCTCATATATGAATCATGTAGTATCTGCACTTTGGCGTCTGGCTCATTTTAATTAGCATAATGTAATCCAGGTTCATCCAAGGCATAGCCTGTATCAGAATTTCCTTTCTTTTTTAGGCCGAGTAATATTCCATTGTATGTAAATACTGTATTTGGTTTATTCATTTATCCAATGATAGACACTTGGGTTCCTTCTATCTTTTGACTATTGTGAATAATGCTACATGAATATGGGTATAGACGTATCTGTTCAAAACTGCTTTCAATTCTTTGGGGAAAACACCCAGAAGTGAAATTGCTGGGCCACAGTGTAATTCTGTTCAGCTTTTTGAAGAAATGCTGCTGTTTTCCACAGCAGCTGCACCACACCTTTTTTTACTGGCAATAAGTTTTTCTTTTCTTCTCCTGTTGCCTCCACAAAACTATCCAAACCTGAAGGTATATTTGTTCACAAAGCACCAATCTTCTTTTCAAATCTCTACGGAAAGGCCCTCATTGAAACTGGTAACTTTCTATCAGAGGACATTTGAAAGGCAAAAGTTCTCAAGTTCTGGTACCAATTACTAGTAATAATGTGATACCACATAGCTGAATCTTAGATTCTTCATCTGTCATGGGGCATGGTGTGGAAAAACATATTATAACCTGGAAATTATAAGAAAACTTTATGTTCTACTTTTTATATTTCTGTACTATTTTAGATGTTGTGTTGGTTTTCAATTAGAAATGAAAACAGGCTGGGCGTGGTGGCTCACTCCTGTAATCCCAGCACTTTGGGGAGGCCAAGGCAGGCAGATCATGAGGTCAAAAGATCAAGCCCATCCTGGCCAAGAAGGTAAAACCCCATCTCTACTAAAAATACAAAAATTGGCTGGGTGTGGTGGTGGATGCCTATAGCTACTTGGGAGGCTGAGGCAGGAGAATTGCTTGAACCCGGGAAGCAGAGGTTGCAGTGAGCCAAGATTGCACCACGGCACTCTGGCCTGGCGATAGAGTGGGACTCTGTCTCAAAAAAGAAAAAGAAAAAGAAAAAGAAAAAGAAAAAGAAAAAAAGAAAAATCATTTTTCCAATTAAGTAAGATTCTTTTCAAATAATTCTATTCTTCATGCAAAAAGAAAGGTAAGCCTTCATATTTTCCAAAATATAAAATTATCATATGCATATTAATCATAAATAACCAGCATCCCCCCACTTACCTTTAATCTTCACATATTGCATTTCTGGATTAACACAGACGGCAAGATTACTAGGCAGAGTCCAGGGAGTGGTTGTCCAAGCAACTAAAGATACAGTTTCATCTTCTTCCAAAGGGAAAGTTACAAATACTGAAGGGTCTTGAACATCCTGAAATAAATTGAGGTTTTGTTTTACAAATCCACAATGACAGACACCTAAGAAAAAGAAACTGATCCTAAAGATAAATCTTCAGGATAAACTGAAGAAATCACTTGCCACAGTTATAAAAATAAAATAGCAAGAAATTCCAAGTAAAAACATTTTTAAAAACTTTAAAAAGTACATTTAAAAGCATATTTGTCACAAATTAAATATTTTAAGACACCTGGTGACTGTTTATTTTTTTTGACATGGAGTCTCCCTCTGTCACTTAGGCTAGAGTGCTGTGGTACCATCTTGGCTCACTGCAGCCTTCGCCTCCTGGGTTCAAGTGATTCTTGTGCCTCAGCCTCCCAAGTACCTGAAATTACAGGCACATGCCACCACACTTAGCTAATTTTTATATTTTTAGTAGAGATGGGGTTATTCTATGTTGGTCAGGCTGGTCTCAAACTCCTGACCTCAAGTGATCCACCTGCCACATCCTCCCATAATGCTGGGATTACAGGCATGGGCCACCATGCCTGGCCTCTGGTAACTTTTTAAAGTAATGTCTAAAGAGGAACATACAATGGGAGGTTTCAGTTTTATGATTATCTACTTTGTAAGTCCATGAAGAGGTAGGTCTAAAAGATCCTACTAAAGCAACATATACTTGAAACTGTAATAAACCCATATAAATTCAGCTCATTAAATAAAAAAACAAGATTGTCTCCAGCTCGCTGGCAATGTTTCAACACAAAAAGTGTCAAGGATTTAAAAATAAATAGCTCTAAAAAAATCAGTCCCAGACAAAAACCAACTGCAATTTAAATAAAGTGACACAAGAGCTGTTGGTCACACAAGAGAAACCTGAAATAAGGGACACTACTATTGGCCTGTACCTCCTCAAATGTGTCAGTATTATGAAGCATAAAGAGACTAAAGAGCTGTTTGAGATTAAAGGCTGGAGACATATCACTGCCAGAAGCACACAATGTAGGTCTTTTTTGTTTCTTTTCTTTCTTTCTCTCTCTTTTTTTTTTTTAACTACAAAGGACACTGCTGAGACAAGCAGAACCTGAATAAGATCTATACATGAGGTAATACAGTATCAATGTTAATTTTCTAACTCTAGTTATTTAAAACAATGTTACTGATTTTAGGAAATATGTAGTTTTCATAGGAAAAGGGCCATAATTCCTGCAAATTACTCTCAAAGGGTACTGTGCCCCACTCCTATAAAAAGAGAGAAAGATAAAGCAAATGTGGCAAAAGATTAACATTTAGGGAATCTAGTTGAAGGAGATAAAGAACTCTCTCCAGTTTTCTGTGAGTTTGAAAATATGTCAAAATTAAAATTTTTTTCTTGGTCAAAACAAGCAAAACCTATTACATTAAGATACATCATAAATCCAATGTAGAAAACAAATCCCTCATCTTAACAGAGCTTTAGTATAGTAACTGGCAATTTTTTCAGCATTCAGTAATAAGTGGTCAAAGTGACTGATGGCATGGGCACGTTCCACACCGGGTCTACTTGGGAGTACCTACTGTGATCATAACCATTCAACTTCTACCTACAAAGCTCAATGCTGAATAATGTCTCTACATTTCACGTACCTTATAATTCTGGTGTGACTCAAAGTTGGAAAGTGGAGTGTTACATGCAGTAGAGAAGGGCATGACTTTCACACCTCTATAAACAAGGCCTTTATCATAGAGTTGTTTGAAGACCCACCTGATAAGAGATGGAGTTTCACAATTATATAACCAAAATTCTATTTCTGAAAATGCAAACATTTATGCCATTTTCTGTTTAGAGTGTCTGTCTGCCAAATAAGTGAAAAAACAATGTCTTTCATTGGGAGACTAGCTGGTAAATTAGGTCAATACAGTAAGACATTAGGCAGACATTACAATGCTAATATCTACTAACATTGAATGATGTTTAAAACATAACGTTGATTAAGAAAAGCGATTGGCAGGCCGGGCGGAGTGGCTCACAGCTGTAATTCCAGCACTCCTGGAGGCCGAGGCAGGTTGCTCACCTAGATTAGGAGCTCAAGACCAGCCTGGCCAACATGGTGACACCCCATCTCTACTAAAAATACAAAAATTAGCCAGGAGCAGGGGTGTCTATGATCCTAACTATCCAGGAGACTGGGGGAGGAGATTCGCTTGAACCCAGGAGGCAGAGGTTGCAGTGTGCCGAGATCATGCCATCGGACTCCAGTCTGGGCAACAGAGCCAGACTCGGTCTCAAAAAAATAAAAGTCCTACATTCAACAACAAACCTATTCCCAAAGATTTCGGAGACATAACGATGGACTCAAAAATAAACTGATCCATGCTAGTGCACTTTTCCAATAACCAACACAACAGAATATTCATAGAATATTTATCATATTTACAATTTTAAATAAACCTACCAGACACTTTCCATGAATTCTGGATACAGAGTTTTGTAGTCATTGTCAAAGTCAATCCATCGGCCAAGTCTGGTAACTGTAGACTTTAAAATATTAATATAGAACAGTATTAGACAATATTAATTGTACATCAATGTGTATTTACTTCTACTGTCACCACATATGGAAATTTTGGGAAAACAGAATAATCAACGGTATGAGTGAATCTATATTGCAAACAACATTCTATGTAAGGTTAAGAACCAGTTTTCTTGGCACTCGTTCTACATGCATAAAATGTTATTTGTAAGTATAAATACTCATTTATACGAGGCTAACAAAACCACTTGGCAAATACCACAGGCATAATTATTGCTGGCACAAATCATTCATGGATGTTAACATTAATGAGTGAATGTATGACAAGGAAAAGAATATTTGGGGCCGGGCGTGGTGGCTCACACCTGTAATCCAAACACTTTGGAGACCAAGGCGGGCAGATCACCTGAGGTCGGGAGTTCAAGACCAGCCTGACCAACATTGTGAAACCCCATCTTAAAAAAAAAAAAAAAAGAATATTTGGAAAGAATCTCCCCATAAGATACTTATTAATTACAAAGGAAAAACTACAACTTTACAAAGCAGGCTGATAGATAGCACCTTAATCAAGTGAACAAAGTTATCACCATCAATGGACATAGCAACGATACACGCCACCTGATACTATGCACTGAGAAGGGCATAGCATCACTTCTGTGGCATTCTCACCAAAAATGTATAACCTAAATTAAATCAGGAAACCTCAGACATTGAGAGACATTCTATAAAATAGCTGCTCTGCAATCTTCAGAAATGAGAAGGCCATGAAAGACAAAGAACTGAATAAAATATCCCATACTTAAGAAGACTAAGAAATCATGACAACTAAATGCAATATGTGATTGGACCAAATAAAAATTAATGGGGCAACTGCTTTTGAAAATTCTATTAATACTACAGTTATTGAAGATGTTAGCAGTTGGGAAAGAAGGATGAAAGATATAGGGGAATTAATCTTATTTTTGCAATTGTTTAATAAGTCAAATTATTTCAAAATAAAAAGTTAAAAAAATTTTAAAAGTATTTGAGAAAAAAAGAAGAGGCCCATATCCATGTTATACTTATCAGAAATTTTCCCTATTGGTGATCAGTCAAGAAAGGTAGACCAATTAAGCACACGGAAGTCAGAAAATGTTTCGGTTTAAGCTAACAGTTTTTCTACAAAGAAAAAATTAATAAATAAAAAAAGCACAAGGGACCATAAACCATCTCAATGCCCATTTAATAACTACATTTTCTGTTCATTCTACTGACAATAACCCAACATACCTTCCACTCAGTAGAATATCTCATCACAATTGCTCGGCACTGACTGTTATATTCTGTAATCCCCATTTTGGCCACATCCTCTGGTCCTCTGATTCCCAGTGTCTTATCAATTTCATATTCCTGAAAATTTGTGATAAGATTGTTACCACCGTGCCCCATGAAACAACTGCAACTATGCAACTCTAGAAAATAAAGCAAATCGAACTACAAATATAGAAATGAAGTAGAAGGTCTACAGTCAACATTTGTATTTAACATATTATATGATGAAATCTAATGCTTATAAAAAAAATCAGAACATTATAAAGCTGGATACTCAAACATACCACAGGTAAGCCATGACAATCCCATCCAAATCTTCTGTCAACATGAAACCCACTCTGGTGAGCATATCTTGTAACTATATCTTTAATTGTCCCTGCAAGTATATGTCCATAGTGAGGCAGTCCAGTTGCAAAAGGAGGACCATCATAGAAAGTAAATCTAAGAGGTAATAAAAATATATCAAGTCACTTAAAAACAGCAAAAATTTAAAGCATTTTTCTATAGATAGCTTTTGGCATAGTGAAGTCTTTTTGGAAGGAGAAAAGCAGCAAGACCAGAAAATTGGCAAATATAATTGATTAGATATTTACTGGTGGTCCTGCCTTCAGAAAGGCTACAACTGTGGTAGAGCTGCAGAGACCTCCCTTTGATTATCCATTTTTCATTTATTAGTTCCATGATGTAAGGTAAGTTATTTATCCTGATCTTGAGTTATCTCATCAGTAAAATAGAGCAATAAACCCCTATCTCATAAAGTTTTTGACCAGAGGAGACATATAATGAAAACAGTGATTAAAGGGCTAGTCTTTTAGGTAAATGAAGACTAAAGGCAGAAGGCACTATAGTAGCCTTCTACAGGGTACTTATTCATTCAATGTATATAGCTACTACTGAATACCCACTATATAAAGGGCTGGAGGATTCTGGGAATACAAAGATGAGTAAAGAATAACTGCTTTAGGCCTTGAGTGGTGGCTCATGCCTGTAATCCCAGCACTTTGAGAGGCCCAGGCAGATGGATCACTTGAGGTCAGGAATTTGAGAGCAGCCTGGGCAACATGGTGAAATTCTGTTTCTACTAAAAATACAAAAATTAGCTGGGCATGGTGGCGGGTACCTGTAATCTCAGCTACTTGGGAGGCTGAGGCAGGAGAATCACTTGCATCCAGGAGGTGGAGGTTACAGTGAGCAGAGATCACATCACTGCACTCCAACCTGGGCAACAGAGCAAGACTCCATCTCAAAGAAAAAAAAAAAAAAAAAAAAAGAATATTTTTTTTAATGGAATTAAGTTTAAGAAATAACTATTTTTTTTTTTTTTTTTTTGAGATGGAGTCTTGCTCTGTCACCAGGCTGGAATGCAGTGGCAATCTCGGCTCACTGCAATCTCCGCCTCCGCCTCCGCCTCCCGAGGAGCTGGGACCACAGGCACGTGCCACCACGCCTGGCTAATTTTTTTGTATTTTTAGTAGAGACGGGGTTTCACCATGTTGGCCAGGATGGTCTCAATCTCTTGACCTCGTGATCCACCCGCCTCGACCTCCCAAAGTGCTGGGATTACAGGCGTGAGCCACCGTACCCGGCCCAAGAAATAACAATTCTTAAGGACTTTCCCTTTACCTAAGAAATTCACATACTTTGGTTTATGTTTCGATTGCTTTAAGCATTCCTGAAAACAATTAAATTTAGTCCAAAACTCCAAGATTTTTTCTTCTTCAGCAGGAAAATTTATGTTTTCTGGAACTTGTTGAACCATTTTGTTGCTGTAAAAGAAATCAAATTTGTTACTGTCAAAAGAGAAATCTAGGAATAACAGAGTACCATATTATTAACATGGGTGTATGTAGATGACACTAACCATACTTTAAAAAAATTATAGCTTTATTGATGTACAATTTACATACTGTAATGTACAGTGTACAATTCAGTGGCTTTTCAGTATATTTACAAGGTAGTATAATTATTACTATTATCTAATTTTTTGATGTTCATTATATTATTTACTGTAGTGAAAATGTGTCAAAAATTAATTGTTCAACAATAAGAGAACAGTTATTAAATACATGATACTTTTATATTTCAAAGAGAAGTTAACAAAATTGGAAAAATTCATCAAAAATATGGAACTCTTCACAAATATGCACGTCATCCTTGTGCAGGGGCCACGCTAATCTTCTCTGTATCATTCCAATTTTAGTATATGTGCTGCCGAAGTGAGTACTACTACTATGTAATTTCAAAATGTTTTCAACCTCCCCTCCCCACCAAAGTACCCCATAACCATTAGCAGTCACTCCCCATTCTTTCTTCTCCATAGCCAGTAGCAACAACTGATCTTCTTTCTGCTTCTATAGATTTACCCATCCTGGACATTTCATATGAAAGGAAAAATTTATATAAATCATCTATATGTGGCCTATTGCAATTGGTTCCCTTTCTCTAGCACATTTTCAAGGTTCATCCACACTGTAATATGTATTCATACTTTATTACTTTTGATAGCTGAATAGTATTCCATTTCATGAATATGCCACATTTTGTTTATCCATTTATCATTTCTTGGACACCTGTATTGTTTCTGCTTTTCGGTTATTGTGAATAATGCTGCTAGGAACATTCATGTACAAAATTTTGTGTGGATCTACGTTTCATTTCTCTTGGGTATGTAGCTAGAGGCAGAATTTCTGGGTCACATGATAATTCTATATTTGACTTTTTGAGAAAATGCCAAAATGTTTTCCAAGGTGACTGTACTATTTTACAATCCCTCAGCAGTGAATAAGGATTCTAATGTCTTTATATCCTACCTAACACATCTTATTGTCCATCTTTGGATTACAGTCATCCTAGGAGATGTTAAATAGTTATCTTGTGGTTTTGATTTGCATTTCCCTGAAGACTAATGATGCTGAGCGTCTTTCCACGTGCTTATTGGCCATTTGTGTATCCACTTTGGATAGATATTTATTTATCCTTTGCCTATTTTCTAATTAGGCTGTCTTTTTATGGTTGAGTTTTAAGGGTTATTTATACATTCTGGATACAAATCCTTTAGAAGATGTATGATTTGTAAAAAGCTTCTCTTATTCTGTGGGCTTTTTATTTTAGTGATGGTATTTTTGAAACACAAAAATTTTTAATTTTAATGATGCCCAATTTGTCTATTTTTGGTTTTGTTGCTTAAGCTTTTGGTGTCATCTAATAAACTATTACCTAAAGAAGGTTACAGACTTTTAGCTTACATTTAGACCAAGAATCATATTGAGTTATTTTTGTATACGGTGAGGGAAAGGTACTTGGTATTACTTAATATTCAGTAATGCTAGACAATATTTCCAAAAGTAAGCAAGAAAATCTTGGATATTCTATCTGATGGTACAAAAACTCTTAACAATCTGAAGAAAAAAATCTCAAAAGTAACTAAGAATTTTCTTACCTACACTCACATAACAGAAATCAGTTCTCTTGAAATAACTTCATCTTCTCTTTGATGAAAACTGGTATAACTTTAAAAATCTTAAAAAGGGCCGGGCGCGGTGGCTCAAGCCTGTAATCCCAGCACTTTGAGAGGCCGAGGCGGGTGGATCACGAGGTCAAGAGATCGAGACCATCCTGGTCAACATGGTGAAACCCCGTCTCTACTAAAAATACAAAAAATTAGCTGGGCAAATCCCAACAGTTAAGAGTTTGTGGCTGGCCGCAGTGGCTCATGTCTGTAATCCCAGCACTTTGGGAGGCTGAGGTGGGCGGATCACAAGGTCAAGAGATTGAGACCATCCTGGCCAACATGGTGAAACTCTGTCTCTACTAAAAAAAATACAAAAATTAGCTGGGCATGGTGGTGTGTGCCTATAGTCCCAGCTACTCAGGAGGCTGAGGCAGGAGAATTGCTTGAACCCAGGGGACGGAGATTGCAGTGAGCCAAGATTGCGCCACTGCACTCCAGCCTGGTGCCTGATAACGGAGCAAGACTCTGTCTCAAAAAAAAAAAAAAAAAAAAAAAAAAAAAAAAAAAAAAAAAAAAAAAAAAAAAAAAAAAAAAAAAAATCTTAAAAAGATGAGAATCTTACATTCGAATATAGATTCCAATTTTCCATTTTACCCTTTTTATTTCTTATTCATGATTTTTATGAAGGATAAGTTTAGTCTCTAGTGAGAAGGCTTAAAGTGCCTTTTAAACGTTTTGCTAATAACCTCATTCAGAGACACTTGATCAATCTGTGTTTAAGTATCTAGTGAGCTGACTTAAGCATCTAGTGAGCATCCTTGAGACCTTTCCTTCCCAAAGTCTATTTAATTTTTAATTAATAATTCTAACAAGGTGGGTGCAAGATTTCCAAGTCAACAGCAGATTAGAAGGGAATAGAATTGCTAATAAGAGAACAGAGAAGATAAAAAACCTTAAGTACTCAAGAACCACAACAGTCCAGGGTAATCAACTCTACAGGAAAAGGCACCTACTTACCTCAAACAGTTCTGAAAGCATCAAAAGCATCATAGTCTAAGCAAGTTATTGATTCAAGTTATTAAAAAAAAAAAAAAGTCTGTGACAAGTAGTATCTTTCATTTTCTTTCACCTTCATTAAATTTTCAGGTGTATGAGTGCTTCTGAGTTTAATTTAAGAAAAAACAGGGTAAGAACAGTTGGGCTGTTTGATTAACTGAAATAGCTATTTCTGATCACAGTATACCATTAAAAAGTATTAAACAGAAATTGCAAGGTTTTAGATGTTCAACTCTTACTACAACCTCTAGCCTTTCAAGGATCAAAAGAAGTGTTTGTGCAATTCCTGATTTATTTACGTACATTGGGTACATTATCAGAGGCCAACTGAAACTTATAAGATTGTTATCTGAAGACTAACAGACCTTTAGATATCAACACACTCGTTCATCACTTCTAAGACCTTTGTCACTTCTTCAAGGCTGGTCCTACAATGGCCCACATCCATGGGAGCTTTTTTTTTTTTTTTTTTTAAGACACAGTCTTGCTCTGTTGCCCAGGCTGGAGTACAGTGGTGCAATTTTGGCTCGCTGCAACCGCTGCCTCCTGGGTTCAAGCAATTTTCCTGCCTCAGCTTCCTGCCTCAGATTACAGGTGTACACCACCATGCCCAGCTAATTTTTGTATTATTTTAGTAGAGACAGGGTTTCACCATGTTGGCCAGGCTGGCCTGGAACGTCTGACCTTGTGATCTGCTTGCCTCAGCCTCCCAAAGGGCTGGGACTATGGGTGTGAGCCACCGTGCCCAGCCTATGGGAGCTTATTACAGATGGAGACTTAGCAGCCTCACCTTGCACCTAGGAGTCAGAACCTGCATTTTAACAAGATCCCTAGGGAATGAAAATTCACATCAAAGTCTGAACATCACCACTCTTGCACTGTTCTGACAATTATTCAGGAATGTCTATCTGAATTTTTGTTTTTCAGAAAATGAGATTTAAGCTTTCTGAGAAGAGGGCCATAACTTTTTTTTTTTTTCCCAGACAGTGTCTCACTCTGTCACCCAGCCAGGAGTGCAGTGATACAATCATGGCTCACAGCAGCCTTGACCTCCCTGGACTTGGGTGATCCTCCCAGCTTAGTCTCCCAAGTAGCTAAGACTTCAGGTGTGCACCACCACACTCAGTTTTTTGTGTTTGTTTGTTCGTTTTGTATTCTTTGTAGAGACAGGGTTTTGCCATGTTGCCCATGTCTTCAGTTCCTGGGCTTAAATGATCCTCTTGCCTCGGCCTCCAAATGTGCTGGGGTTACAGGCATGAGCCACTGTGCCTCGCCAGCTCATTCAGTTTTTACAGTGTTTTTTAGGGAATCTCTGCTTTCCCCCGAAAATTAAAAATCACTGCACTATTATGCCAAGCATAAAGACTCAGTATAACAGCATTAATTATTCAGGAAGAACCATGTTCCAGTGACCGGGCTATGGCGGCCGCTGAGGAGAAGCAGCCTCCATGCATAAATCACAGGATTGCTATGGCCCATCGTATCCACCGGAGAGCTGCACATACACAACAGCATCCAGCAACCACAGGGCAGGGGACAAGGTAGGTTAACCGTGCCAAGTTGTGCAGAGGGATGTCATCCCCTTTGCTTCGTTCTTATAATCCAGGCCCTTCATTCTTCCCTGTTCCACAACTCCTTCAGGCCACCTTAACCTCAACTTCCTGTTCAGCAATTTCGAGACCACCCTCCTTGACATTCACTTCAAATTATTCACATTCTCTTCATAGTATTTCCCCTCAGTATATTTTGGAAACGCACACTAAAACCATTGTTTTGTTTAAAATTTCATAATCTTTCTTTCCACAGTTGCTTCCATTTTTAACTCTACCGTATTAGAGGTTCCAATATTCTTCCCATTACCTAAGCAATGCATTTCTGAGTCACCCTGACACTACTCGGAAGACAGACATAATCATCAAGTCACATGGATTCTACCTAGAAGTCTATTTCTTTTCCATTCTCCTCTAAATCCATTTCTGTTTCCCCTTTTTATTCTCAGGTCTTCATAATTATGTCAAATGTAACCTCAAGGTGGGACCATTTCAAACCTTTCCTCAATTTAGTTATATCCTATGAACATATGCTCCACAGATATACTCACGCAAATGTACAAAATACGTATGCAGTGACATTCACCGAATAATTGTTTCTACAGGCAAGTAACTGAAAACAATTTATATATTCATGGTGACAAGTAAATTACGGTACATCAATAAAATAATCATGCAGCCGTTAAAGGCAATAAACTAAGACATATAAAAATACGTATTACCTATACATAAAGTCACAGCTGTACCAATTTATACTATGTATAATGTTTCCTATCCAAGATTTTACTCATTTCAAACACCACCTCATTAAAAAAAGGCGACCATAAACTCAATAAGGCTGGAAATTAACGAAAGGAAAGCCCTGAAGAAACGCGTTCTTTCAAAAATTAAATCGTGTGCTACTGTTTTGGGGTTGTAACGCGTGTGTGCCCCTCGCCTTTGAGGGCCGGATACTGCTGGGAAGAATAGGCGTACCCCAGGGTCCCCGCGTACCTGGATAGCCGCGCTGGCCAGCAAGTCTAGTAGCAATCCCGCGGACAAGAGAGCTGTGAGCCGGCGCGCGGAGGTGATGCAACGCGCTGACAACGCGAGATCGAGGGAAGAAGGCTGGCTCCGCACCGGCCAATCAGTACGCGCTGTCTGACACCTACCAACAAGCCAGGCGGCTATTCGTTGCGCCGGACCTGACTACGCCTTCTCGTGCGGATGGTGCGACCGTTATACTTGCCGGTTTTGCGGCTCCCCTTGGAATACGAACCCGCGCTGAGCGGTGGGCTGGGTTGCCGCGTTGGTGCTGCTGGTATCCGTTCCAATAGTGTAGACCGAGGTCGCACTCGGGTTGTGGGCACCTCTGAGTAAGTGAAGGCCCACTGGGAAGCAGCAGCGAGGTCGGGGCTCTTTTTTTTTTTTTTTTTTTTGAGACGGAGTTTCGCTCTT